GAAAATATGTGATAAAGACAAAAAAAAAAAAAAAAAAAAAATTATAAGAGTTAAATTTCATTTTTGATCCCAGATTTATAGATGACAGCTTACTTTTAGTTCTTTTTAATTAGAACATCCAAATTTGATTATACACTATTGGAAATTATGAAATTTTCGACCACCTGAAAGTGATCTTAAATCAAGTAGAAAGTCTTGTTCCGATCACTTTTGGATCCGGAAAAACTTTTGTTGCTATTTCCGACCACTTTTTGGTATCAACTTAATTTAAGATCACTTTTAGGTGGTCGGAAATTCCATAATTTCCAGTAGTGATAGTATTATTGAGGCATGACCATTTTTGTTCCTCCGTCAACAAAATCATTGAATTGACGTTAAATACAATGACATTTCGTTCTCTTTTTTTTTTTAACAAGTGGGTTGACTTGGTATATTTTTATTTTTATTTTTATTTTTTGAAAAAAATTATATTTGATGACTGAAATGTCATTGTATTTAAGGAAATTTAAACGATTTTGTTGATAAAGGACGGAAATGTCATTGTATTCCCTATCCTAGTCTCCCTATGATTCTCTCTTGTATATATTCCCTCAGTTTATACAGTTGTAATCACTGTGAATCTAATACAGTTCATACAGTTCTCTTCTGGTATCAGCTAGCTAGGGTTTTCTCATTCCCATGGCAGACAGATCTGATAATTCTTTAGAACGAATCGTCTTTGATGCTGACGTTACTTCCTCCGTTTCTATGGTTGTTAATTCACTTTCTACTGCCCATCACTTTATCAGTAATAAGCTCACCCATAACAATTTTTTATTTTGGAGGACACAAGTGGTGCCCTTTTTACAAGGACACAGACTCATGGGGTTTGTTGACGGATCTAATCCGTGCCCGTCGGCCTTCTTGCCTGCCGCCGCCGACGCAGTGCCATAACTGAACCCAGCTCATGTCATATGGTTTCGGCATGATAAGGCTTTGATGTCTATGTTAATTTCCTCGCTCTCAGGGGAAGTAATACACCTCGCAGTTGGACGTCGGACGTCACGGGAGGTTTAGGAGTCCATAGAATAGTCACTGGCCTCCTCATCTCGTGCCAGGTTGTTGAATCTCCTTGGTCAGCTTCAGTCTCTTCGGTAAGGAGATTCCACTATCGCTAATTATATTAGCCGTGCGCGTGTTATTAAGGAGCATCTTGCATTGGTTGGTCGAACAGTTGGCTTGGACAAGAGGAACCTGTATGTTTTTCGGGGTTTGCGGCCAGAGTTTCAAAACCTCACTGCATCACTCTCGATTCGTGGACAGCCCGTCACCCTTAAGGAGTTAGGCGACTTCCTCGGCGCCCGAGAATTCATCTATGGCTCGGACGGAACCTCGTCGGCCGCCTTTACTGTCCAGCGGGGAGGGCAGTCTCGCCACTCCGGCCGTGGTGGACGGCAGCGGCGGTCAGTCTAAGTGTCAAATTTGTGGACGCAACGATCACCCAGCTTTTGCATGTTACGACCGTTATGATCCCCATCCTCATGCAAATTTGACATATCAGAATAATGGTTTAGATATTAATGGCTCTAAGGTATGGATTCCTGATACTGGGACAACCAATCATGTGACTCCAAATATTGCAGCCATATCTACGTCTGAAGAGTATACGGGTAATGATACGTTACGTGTTGGTGATGGTAAGGCAATATGTATTAGTCATATTGATCATGCTTCCTTTAATACCCCATCTAGGTCTTTTCAATTATCTAATATCCTTCATGTTCCCAGTTTGTCTACGTCTTTATTGTCTGTTCAAAAATTTGCTTCAAATAATAAAGTGTTCTTTGAGTTTCACTCATCTTGTTTTGTTGTGAAGGATACCAATACCAAGGAAGTGCTACTACAGGGTAATAGCTCTAGGGGTCTTTAAAAGCTTCCTATCACTAGTTCGTCTCCGTGTTTCTTTCTGCTTGTGCATCTGCGTCAATGTAGCATGATCGCTTAGGACATCCACACCATCGTGTTTTGCTTCGTATTCTTCAGTCTTGTTCGGTTAGTGGGTCTAGTAATTCTATTCGTTTGTAATTCTAGTTTATGTAATGCGTGTCAATTGGGCAAATCTGCGCGATTCCCATTGCTACGTGTTGAGTCATCCAGTACTAGTGTTCTTGATTTAATATATACGGATATTTGGGGTCCAACTCCTTTATTGTCTATTTATGCCTTTATGGTCATCGTTATTTTGTCATTTTTGTAGATGATTATACCCGCTACACCTGGTATTTTCCCATAAAATTAAAATATGATTTGTATGTCATCTTCGATAAATTTCGTACTATGGTCGAACGCTCCTTCAATAGAAAAATTAAATCTATTTAGTCTTACCTAGGAGCTGAATACAAAAAGTTGCATCATTCCTTCGTTCAATTAGGGATTTTTCATAGACAATCGTGTGCATACACTCATGAACAAAATGGTCGTATCGAACGGAAACATAGACACATAGTTGAAACGGGTTTAACTCTCTTAGCCCGTGCATCTGTTCCATATAAACTCTGGGATTTTGCCTTTGAAACTGTTGTTTATTTAATCAACAGAATGTCATCTATTGTGTTAGATAACTCCAGTCCTCACTTAAAGTTGCATAGCTCCCATCCTTTATATTATTTCCTTCGTGCCTTTGGGTGTCTATGTTACGTTATCCGTATCTTAGACCACACAATCGCCATAAAGTGTCATATCATTCCTCTCCATGTGTCTTCTTAGGATATCCTGAGTCGTTTGGGGGGTATAGGTGCATGGACTTACAGACTAATAAGATTTATGTGTGTAGGCATGTGAGATATATTTGATGAAGCAGTGTTTCCTTTTTGCTACTAAGAATAATTACAGACACTGCAAGCTTTGTAGAGTGGACCGTGGGCCGAATCGGTTCTCCACCCCACTGTTGCACCGCCTGCGCCTGGGTCGTCTGAATATCACTCGGACATCTCGCCTGGGCAGTCTGAGCCCGAGCCGGATACACCACCGGTCCAGCCTTCTATACGGCCTCGCGGCCGACCTCGGGACAAATCCATGAAATCCACGACCCGGACTCACGTGTTGAGTACTCGCAGTTAGTCCTAGGCCCCTCCATCTACTTTAACAGTTCAGCTTTGTCCTACGGATCCCACTTGTTACACTCAGGCAGTTAAGCATCCAGAATGGAGTGAAGCTAGGGACCAAGAATTTAATGCACTTCTACAAAATCAAACATGGTGTCTTGTCCCTTCTCGGGCAGGTTTGAATATCATTGGGTGTAAGTGGGTTTTTCGAACAAAAGGAAGACATATGGCTCTATTGAGAGACACAAGGCAAGGTTAGTAGCAAAAGGATTCAATCAGGTACCTGGTCAGAATTTCTTTGTTATATTCAGCCTAGTGGTAAAGCACACTACTGTCAGGTTACTTTTATACTTGGCTTTATCCTCTAGTTGGATCGTTAGGCAGCTTGATGTTCATAATGCCTTTTTAATGGAAACCTGTCTGAAACTGTCAATATGAAGCAACCCCCTGGTTACATGATGTTCAGTATCCCAACCGTGTTTATTTATTAAAACGCTCCTTATATGGCTTAAAACAGGCTCCTAAAGCACGGTTTAACTACCTGCATACGTTCCTACTATCTGTTGGGTTCCAAGCATAAAAAATGGATGTGTCCTTATTTTATTACACACTGGAGTCTGCTTATGTATATATGTTGGTTTATGTTGATGATATACTTGTGATCAGGATCTAGTTGCTCAATTGATATTGAAATTGTCTACTACTTTTAAAATTAGGGATCTTGGTGAACTTGGTTTTTTTCTTGAGATTGAAACTATTAAATGTGATGATGGAATTCTACTTTCGCAACAGAGATATATGAATGATATTTTAAAACGTGCTGGAATGAAAGAATGCAAGGGGTTGGTCACGCCTATCTCTGTGTCAAAAAATGTCCCACTCAATGCAGACTTATAAGATTATCATACGCCGTACAGGAGTCTAGCTGGAGCACTACAGTATCTAACTATTACTCGACCTGATCTTTCTTTTGTAGTTAATCAGTTGTGTCAACACATGCATGCTCCTACAGTTTCACACTGGGAGCAACTGAAACGAGTTTTAAGGTATGTAAAAGAAACCGTTAGTTTTGGTCTACGTATCAGGAAGTCAGTCTCAAAAGAATTTGATGCATTCTCTGATTCTGACTGGGCTGGCTATCTGGAAGACCGAAAATCCACTAGTGGTTTCACAGTGTTTGAGTTTGCAAGAAACAAATAACTGTTGTTAGATCTTCTACGGAGGCAGAATATAAAGCTCTAGCAGATGTCTATTCTGAAGTGACTTGGATAGTTTCACTGCTGCGTGAAATCAAGGTGTCAGGTATCTCTGTTCCAAAATTGTGGTGTGATAATCTTTGTGCTACTTATATGTGTGCAAATCCTTTCATGCACGTACCAAGCACATAAAAATTGACTATCACTTCGTTCGAGATAAAAATTCTTCTAGAGACATTCAAGTCAATTTCATCCCAACAAAAGATCAACTTACAAACATATATATTTACTAAAGCATTACCTAGTTTTAGATTTTCTTTTCTTAGAGACAAACTACATGTTACTAGTATATCATGTGCTTGAGAAAGAGTATTAGGACTCTATGTATTTGAGTTACATTATACCTCCCTATCCTAGTCTCTCCATGATTTTCTCTAGTATATATATTCCCTCAGTTTGTAGTTGTATTCACTCTCATCCTAGTAAATTAAATTAAAGATAACATAACATGACTAGGGCAAGTATATATAAGTTTGTTCAAATGCGACTAGACCCTTTAATGCGGCCGCACCGACTGCACCTGAGCTGAGCTATATATATATATATATAAAAGAAAAATGGTAAATCTTATTACTTATTAACCGTAGTTAGGTTGAGCTGAGGGGCATTAAACTCCAAAACAGGTGAAGCGAGCTTAGAGATGGATATTTATATGATATGATGATGCACGAGGGAGGGCTGGACAATAAGACAAAACCTCTTGTGGCGATAAAAGTAGGACATCACTCACCCGTCCTAAGGCTTCAAACTTTAATTTTTGCGATTTCCGATCTTCTTCCCTTAGCTTCCATCCGCTTCACTAACAACTAAATCCCATACCATCTGATTTGATCTATCTGTGATGTGTTTTACGTTGTAGAGTGTGAAAGCTAGGCTGTAAATATTGATCGAGGAAGATAAGGTGTACGATACGATCGATAATGTTAAACACTCTGTGTGGGAGCATGGGAAGTTTGAGCAGTGAGGTGGGGAACCTAAAGATTGAGGAACCCAGCAGCAGCGTAAAGCGTGAAAATTCATCATTGCTGTCATCTTGTTCTACTCTGCTGCATCAATCGGACAAGGTTCCTGTTCCTCTCCCTGCAGCAGCATCCGATTATGAAGACCACAGTAGCGTTGTTAATGGCGTCTGCAGCTTCCCCGCCGTCAAATTCGAGGTGTCGGCGGGGGGCGATGACATATCCCCCGATGATCAGTCATACTGGGAGTCATTTTTCGCGGATCAGCTTGAGGGGGATTTTATGATCTCTTCCCCTGTTAGGAGCAATATGGGCGCCTCTCCTCAGGTTTCCAGCTTTATGAACGATGTTCAGATGATGATCACGTCTCCGGTCAGGAACTGCGGCTATCACCATCAGAATAATGGAATCATCATGTCTTCCCCTCCCCGGATGATGATGGCCATGTCTCCTCTAGGCCCCGGCCCCGGCCCCGCCCAGAACAACAAAGGCAAAGGGTTGAGCCCACTCCACCGGGTATTCAACTCTCCCAACGCCCAACACTTGATGCAAATGCAAACCCACGACTTCTCCCACCTGCCCGCTCTCGACAACTTGCTAGCAGATTTTGACGGTGACCAAGACGACAATGATTTCTCCTCCTCTTACTACTCCTCCACCACCTTAAAGCACCTCCCTGCAGCAGCAAGCTGCAGCAGCGTTCTATCGGAGTCGTTGTTGGACTGCGGCGGCGGCGGCCTGCAGCTGCCCAGCCGGCCCCTGCATTCTTCGGCCTCGGTATCATCGCTCCAAGCTCCAGCACTGCAAGGTAGCTGCTCACAAGAAGACGATGACATAATTTACCAGACGACTACTACTGCAGCTACTGGTGGATGTGGATCCCTCCATATTGCACCTTTGTCGCACCAACTACGAGAGGAGCGCAACCAAGAACAACAACAGCAGCATAATATTATTAGACGTAACCTCCAGTCCATCATTGCCGCCCCTCCTGCACCCTTAGTTCTTCCTCTCTCTGCTCCTCCCGCCGAGGAGGAAGAAGAGGAGGAGCAAGACAGTGGATTGCAACTGTTGCACCTTCTGTTAGTGTGCGCAGAAGCAGTATCCAAAGAGAATTACATGTTAGCTCGGAGATACCTCCACCACCTGAACCGAGTGGTGACGCCCCTCGGAGACTCCATGCAACGCGTTGCGTCTTGCTTCACCGAGGCCTTGAGTGCAAGACTAGCCGCCACTCTCGCCTCTGCCTCGGCTAAATCCAATAATAGGCCCTTCAACCCTCCCTACCCTCCAAACTCCCTTGAGATCCTCAAGATCTATCAAATCCTTTACCAGGCTTGCCCTTACGTCAAGTTCGCCCATTTTACTGCTAATCAGGCAATCTTCGAGGCATTCGAGGCTGAAGAACGGGTGCACGTAATCGACCTTGATATACTCCAGGGCTACCAGTGGCCGGCTTTCATGCAGGCCTTGGCGGCCAGGCCTGGCGGCGCCCCGTTTCTCCGGATCACCGGAGTGGGGCCCTCCCCGGAAGCAGTCCGAGAGACGGGTCGATGTTTGACAGAGCTAGCCCACTCCCTCCACGTCCCCTTCGAATTCCACCCGGTGGGAGAGGAGCTGCAAGACTTAAAGCCCCACATGTTTAACCGGAGAGTGGGAGAGGCGTTGGCGGTGAACGCGGTGAACCGCCTCCACCGGGTTCCGCCAAACTGCGTGGGGAACTTGTTAGGCATGATCAGAGACCAGGCACCCAACATCGTGACCATCGTGGAACAAGAAGCGAACCACAACGGGCCATACTTCTTGGGGCGGTTCCTGGAGGCGCTGCATTACTACTCGGCAATCTTCGACTCGCTGGACGCGACTTTCCCGGCGGATTCTTCCCAGAGAGCGAAGGTGGAGCAGTACATATTCGCGCAGGAGATATGGAACATAGTGGCTTGCGAGGGAGCGGAGAGAGTGTATCGGCACGAGCGGCTGGAGAGGTGGAGGAGAGTGATGGAAGGGAAGGGGTTCAAAGGGGTGCCTCTTAGCGCCAACGCTGTCACGCAGTCAAACATATTGTTGGGTTTGTATTCCTGCGATGGGTATAGGTTGACGGAGGATAAAGGTTGCTTGCTTTTGGGGTGGCAGGACAGACCCATTCTTGCTGCGTCTGCATGGAGATGTTGATATATATATATATATATATATATGCCAAGCCACCACCTCCTCCTCAGCTCCTCTATCACTGGCTTTATATTTTTCTTGAATTCCCGGGCACCCAGCCTGTGTTCTTTTCAGAAGCAATATTGTTTTGTTTTTAATTAATATATATGTCCATCTGATCTGCACCAAATTAAAAAAAGAAAAAAAAATAGTATAGCATACTAGCATAGCATAGCATTAAAATTTATCTATTAATTGAAATGGTTGAATTAGAAAATAATATAAAATGAAATCGTAGATAGATATTAATCCGCTTTGTACCTGCCTGCCTATAGGCTATATAAAGGCTATAGCTAAAAGAAAAACATTACTTTTTTTTTACTCTATGCTAAGATTTGATTGATTGCTTCATGTCTTCATTTATTTTAAATCATTCAATACTATGCTATGCTATACTCCAGGGGAGATTCCTAATAATACAGTCTTCAGTGGTCTTTTCACCTATCGTAAAAATTTGAAGCAGTGAATGAAACATATGGCAGCATTGCAATTACATTGGGAGATCGAGAAGAGATTAGGTAAAAATCCTTTCCCACGGCAACTAACTACACACGTTTATGTTGGTTGGTACAGAATGTGTAGGTCATATATATATATATATATAAGAATATCTCCATCCATGAGGTATAATACTGTTTACAGATTATTGTTTGTTTGAGGAATACTTGATTCACAATCCCCACACCAACAAATCTCATTCACAATATGGAGCACGAACACATGTTTTTCTTTGGAGCCTCCTCGATCTTCTTTTCTGTTCATGTCACAACATACACACAACCTTCAGTACTTGCATGTAATATATAAAGCTATCATCAAACTCAACAAACCACTCACTTCAACAATCCACAACATAGATTATTGAATCCACATTTTTCTTACCTTAATCTGATTCTAAAATTAAGTTGCATGTGTTTTGAAGAAGATAAATAATTAGCAATAGCATAGCAGAGTAGTACATGAATTTCAGAAGCTGTGCTGATCAAATATTAGAGCCAGATAAGATAGATTATTGCAGGGAAATAATAATCAATGTTTTTAAGTAAATCTTTTGTCAGGGAACATTCCCATCATCAGAACTCAGAAATGTGTGGTAATCACAATTTTGTCATGCACAAGGAAAAAGAAATGACTAAAAGAATAACCTCGTCCTAGTACTAGGCTTCAAATGGGAGCATGCAAAAGGCGAACACATATGATGGGAGAAAAGTTAATAAATGTTGAAAGGTATCACATAAAATATTCAAATATTACTGGGGCTGGAGGAAAAGCACATATAGTAAGGGTTAGGTAAGCTCTAGAGTGTAGACAGCCTTCAAACCAAGTTGGCTCTTTTTAAACCTGGACAGTGAGCCGAACCTTCATTTTTAATCTCTCTTATTTCCTCCTCCATGCCATAAGTCAGATATGAACTCGTGTTGGACATTGGATGATTAACTCTTAAGTTTCCCAGCTTTTTATGAGGCATAGATACCAAAAATAAAATATGTATTTTAGAACATTTTAATGTTTTGTTTGCTTAAAATCTGGATTGAACCCATTTAGAATGTTTCATTTGCAAAAAAGCATAGCAAGATTGTATGAAGGCCAGGAAGATGGTCTTCAGCATACCATATGCAGCTGTAGTTTCCATGCAGACAGGGTAGACAAATCAAGTAGAGGAATGAATCCTTGAAAAAATAATGGAGAAAAGGAAGACAACTAAAAGAGCTTCTAAATGTGATCCATAGTTCCATACACAAGATGCATCCTGAAAGGCTCATCTTCATAGTGTTGAACAGCAAGGAAAAAGAAGCCACCAAAGACCGTTTGGAAAGATCAATAGACATGCACCCTGAAAAAGTCACCTTCTAAGTGTTGTGCACCATGGAGCATTAACCTCAAGGATGATAAGATATTCCCAGAACTGTTGTGGAAAAGTTGAGGGATGCAAATCACCTCATCTTCTAATGCAAACTAGTAATTCAAGTTGGTGATTCATTTCTATGTATTTGGCATCTAATCACTGTTCCCGAAAAAGTGATTTAGCTATCATTTATTTCTGGCTAGGTCAAATGGGAAGGAGGCAGAACATGCATGCTTTAACATAGAATTGAATCAAATTTGCGAGATGAGAGATCTTTTTTTTTTCTTTTATGCTTAAGTTGTAAATATTTGTCAGTTACTGATAACACCTAAGAACCTACAATAAACCATCTGTTGGATCATATTTGGAGATTGAAACTATAGACTATGAGTGTTATTTTTTGACAAACAAGTCAGGGAAATTGGTTCCAATATCCCAAGATTCAAATATGAATCAAGCAAGGAAGTAGTTTAGAAAGTCAGCATGGAGCAATTGTACAAAGAAACAAACCCATACTTCCTGGCTTCCTGCAATGCACGCGATTTGTAAAGAATAATACATGTTTATCTATAAACAAAATATTAAAAGCACAAATATACTGCTAAGTTATAGCATTTAAAAATTAGTACCCATAAAACCAATAACTTTTTTATACGGTTAAAACTACCTGATTTTGCTTTAGCTACAGATGGCTGTACAACAGCATGCATGGTAATTACACCTTTAGGTAGCTCTCCAAAAGGCATCTTGCACTGACCAACAGTCTTGCTGTTTTCTAAAATTTTCCCAGCGCTGATCAATTTTACATCATTTGCTGCCTTGGGTGCAATTTTTTTATCTAAAGCAAAAGAACACATTAACTGGCATCAAAACAGAGATGAAAGATATTCAGCCTAGAAGGAGAAGATGAGAACCACACAAAAGGGAAACCATCTCTGCCCCCTGACACTTTACAAATTACAAGTTCAAGTAAGTGGAAAGACGTAAAATTAAACAAACACAACATAACATTCCAAATAAGGTCAGTAACTAGGCGCAAGTTATATAGGTCTCCAATTAATGATGAAAATTCAAAGAAGTGAAATTAACTAGAGTCTACAACCCTCTGGCCTTAATATCAGGGTAAACCGAGAAATCAGCATTGCCTGGTCCTCTAAGAGGGAAAAAGGGCAAAATTTATCTTTTGGTCAGGCCTAGTCCTCTTTGCACTGTAAGTATCACAGCTGATAACTAAGTTTTGTGGAAAAGCGGAAACTGAAAATTGAAATTCAATATAAAATTTTAGAAGAAAATATTTCTGCAACGCCATAGAAGGAGATAACAACAACAATAAACACCAAGAGCAGACAGTGCAAAGTGCGAAACAATTTCATTCAAACCCTACCACAATGCCCTACTGTGCAATCAAATCAAATTGTGAAGCAATGAAGCCCTAGAATTTCGGCAGATTAAGCTAGTATCCACCTTAATTAAAAAAATTTAAAAAAAAACAAAAAACAAAAAAAACTAGAGAAATAATGTGGCAAACACCTCATAATAGAGCTCTGAACATCAGAACTTCAGAAGTTAATGAAGCACGAACCTTTAGGCCATTCGGCAACGATTCTCTCCTTTAGCATAGCTACAGTAGAAGCGGGGGAATACCGAAACGGACCAATATCCGATCCATCGTACAACCGGAACTTGAGCTCTACCAAATCCTCCTCCGGCATTTGCAATCGGAAACCGTCTCCTCCTCAATCGCCCTTCCGCTCCCGACACCTAACGCAGGCAGGCAGGCAGGCACAACCGCACAACAGCTCAAACCAATCATTTAAAAGCATTTTTCAATTTTAAGAAAAATAGAATAATAAACAATAATTGGAAAGGCGAAAGCGCAATAATTAACTGAAAGCGAGAAAAATATATAAAATATATTCTTAGGAATCAAAAAGCTGAACACAGCAAAATACCAGTGGATTTAAAAAAAGGAGATGACTATGATGATACACCAGATTTGATACGTTTTTGCTAATCGTGGAAGTTTGATTAAACTAATGCGAAAAGAGATGAGGCGAATCAGTTTTCCAGCACTACTCGCAGTAAAGAAAACCCTAAGGACCCGATATTCACGCTCACTGCCCACCCAAACGACTACGGTGGGTTTAAACAGTATATTTTTAATGTAAATTTAGATTCGAATCTTAATATTATGTATACACAGTTTTGGATTAAAAATTAAATATAATTTTTTTTTTTTTTAAAAACAAGTTATCCATATTCATTTATTTCAATCATTATTGTATGGACCATGGTCCACACAAGTTGTGTGGACCATATTTTGTCTACTTTAAAATAATGTACATTCAGTACAAAAATAATGTACATTTAGTATATTAAAAATATACTTTTTGTTATGGTCCACATAACATTGTGTGGACCATAGTCCACACAATAATTTGCCCATTTATTTGGAGTGTTGATATCATAATGAATTTTGAATAAATAAGATTATCTTTATCATGCAATACTCCATTTTTAAAAGTAAATTTTACTTTCAAATCATCAAGTTTGTAATTCGTTTACTATTTTTATTTTAACTCGCTTTCAAAAGTTCATCCATATTTCACATCTAATTAAAAAATTATTACCATTCATCAATATTATTATTATTATTAAAAATTGATCATTTTCTTGAAATTGGGTATAGAGGTACAGAACGAAATAGGAAAATAATAGTATTATTGCTCAAGAAACTACGTCCAAAAAAGTACATACAAAGCCCGAGATACCGGTGCACAAAGACGGCCCAAATAATAAATAACACAAACTATAACTCTAATAATGAAATAAAAATAATAATGTTACCGCTACGAATCGGACCCTGGTATACTAGTAAAAGAGAGAAGGTTGAGACCACCAAGCTAGTAGGTTGATCATGTCTCAAAAGATGACGTTTTGACAGGCCAAACCTCCTCCTTTTATATTGTACTTCAACTATTGGATGACGTCCACTTGTACAAAATCCAGGCCTCATCCTTTCCCCTCAATCACGTGTGCGGTGTGCCACGTTCCTAGATTCACGTGCATGTACGCCACCCCTCAAGGCCTCAAGACAGGCACGCCCAAGGTGAGGGGCGCCAAACCCACTGCCAGGGGTGCCAAGGGACGCTCCCATTCCACGAGGGCCACTAGAGATCGGCACGCCACCCGACGCCCCTAGCAGCCAGCCAGTTACACAGCGGCGCCCCTCTCTCTCTGTATCCGTGCTTGTGCTTTTTCTTCCTGGCTTTTAATTAATCTAGTAAATCACTTGGGTTGACCTCATCGTAAGTGCATGCCTTCATGCCTCAATGTCAAACTACCATTGACCGCCCATGGGATACCCACATCACATAAGAGGGCGGCGGGTGGCCATGCTATAGGCGCCTGGCGACGCCATGGTCGAAGGAAGTCTGCGGATGGCAACGCTACGGCTAGAGGAGGTAAATGGGCGGCGATGCCATGGCTAGAGGAGGTAGGCAGGTAGCCACACCATAGTCGGAGGAAGTGACTAAACCACCCTTCACACCTTGCTAGCCCATCATGTCCTTGGTCCACCATTCTCTCCAACTACCCCCTTGGGCCCAAGTCTTACCCAATAAAATGCTCCCCCCCCCCCCCCCCCCACCTCGGTGTCCCATGTCCTCATCAAATGTCCCCCACATTCTTTAGTTGTCTTTGATGAGCAAAGAAAGTATAGAAACTCCCAACCTTCTACACGCATTGGCCTTCATCGACTCCTGGTCTAAAAGGTTTTTCTCTCTTTCAGATAACTCGGTGCTCAGTTTCTACAACCTTCCACACATACTGCTCGTTAGGATGACTCAGCTCTTGCACGCACCCTGCAAGAGAAAGACAGAGATATTTGCGACCTTCCCCTCGCGCGGGTTCATTGAGACGCCTCACGTCGAAGCTAGGGTAACTTAGCAATCTATTGAAAAGCGGAATATATCGTTCGTTGAAATGCAAGATTTAAATTCATCGATCGCTGCAAAGAGGGATAAAATATCGACCATTGAGAAGCAGGATAGATACATATCGACCGTTGAGAAGCGGATAGAAATACCGTTGACCGCTAAAAAGCGGGGCAATAATAAGTCGACCGTTGTGAAGTGGGATAGATAATAAATTGATCACTGAGAAGTGGGATAGAAATACCGTTGACCGCTGAGAAGCGGGATAATAATAAGTCGTCCGTTGAGAAACGGGATAGTGTATTGACCATGTTTTTTTTTTTTTTTGCATGCTAGGCTATGTACCTTGCCCTTGCAAGCCCATGTGAACATGTGCACGCTGGGTGAGGATCAAGTCCTGTTGCCCCGGGCGAAGAAGCGTACGGTCTGCCTATCTTTCGATCCCCGTACGAGATGTGGGAGCAAGCCCACTTTTTTTTTCTTTTTTTTTTTTCTTCCCTTCTCTTTTTTTTTTTCTTCTTCTCTTGGGCCGCATACCTTGCGTTGCAGGCCCAACACTGAAAATGAAAGGGGATGAAGAGTAGTTAGAAAATAATAAAAGGTTTTTTTTTATTACCTTCTCGGGTTGCTTGCAAATCTAATCACCATTTTCTCTAGGCCACTTGCCGTGCTTTCCGAGCCCTGGGGTACTGGTACAAAATGAAGCTAAAAATTAATTTATTACTTCTACGGGCTACCTACCTAGCTAGCGAGCCCATTTGGATGCTATTGTTTACTATCGTGTCTCCTGTATAGACTGCGAAGCTTCCAACTTGCATCGGGACCGCTTATATTGTATGCAGGTCCACTATCGTGCATATTTTCTATTTTTTGGTAACTTGCTTAGCCTGCAAGCCCAACCAAAAATATATATTAATATTTTTTTCCAATGTAGAAATTATTTTTCTTACCTCACCGGGCTACTTGTATGCCCACCAAGGTGCTGCTATTTGGTACAAGGCCGCTACTCGGCCTGTGGGCCTTTAATGGTTGGGATATGGTCGATACTCTCTGATAGGAATATACCTTATTGGCTAAGTATGTCACGGTCAGTTAAATATATGCTAGGTTCCGTACCATGCTGTCGTACCATTTCTAACCCGACCAAAGCTGATCAGCTGAGTCATCCCGGCTGACTCAACGCCGACCATTTGGAGCATTAGCGAGGCTATATCAGGAAGTTAGCGCCACGCGTCGCAAGCCCCTCAACTTGAACACCGCCCTGTGCATGAGGGCGACGTCCCCTGGCCTCCATGTCGGTGGCCCGGGCCGTGTCCCCTTATTCCCCCTATAAATACTCGCATTTATTGCTATGAAGGGGGATTTTTACCTACTAGACATAATAAACATTATTTTTAGTGTTATTTTAATAATCTTTTTATAGTTAATTTGTAATAATTAATTAATTTTATATTTATTTTTATTTATTATTGTTATTAGTAGCTTTGTTAATATTATGCAATTGTAGGTTGTTTTAATTATTAAATTTGTTTTATTATTTAAATTCTGTCAGTCCAATAATTCATTAATTCTAATTTAATAATAATAATATTAATTAGTTTTAGTAGTACATGATTAGTAGGAGTTTAATAAGTATAGATTAGTTATATATGATCTCTAATAAGTTTATTATTATTATTATTATTATTATTATTATTATTATTATTATTATTATTATTATTATTATTTGATATATTAAGTTAGGCCCAAGACGACTTACGCATGTAATAAAGCATTGCACGGTCTCGCGAACGATGAACAAGAGATGGAGGAATTTCCGGCGTCGGCTCCGAAGTGCTTGGATCATTCACAAAGTCGGTCTTCTGCAGCTACTTCTCGACGAGATTGGTGGAGCGATCGTAGAATAGACCGGAGGAGCAGTTAAGCTGGGTGTATAAAAGGGAGGCTTAATCTTCATCATGAGATCATCAATTCACCCTGGATCAATTCCGGAGGCGATAAAAGCAAAGATCAGTTAACTCCGGACGAAATCCGGAGGCGGCAGAGGAAATTTCCATTCAGCGGCGGCGAACCTGATTCAGCAAATTAGTCTTCAGCATTATTTCTGGTTCTTTTCTATTTTTCTTGAATTTGGCTTCTAGATTTCTTCAATTCACATTTGTTAATTATATAAACCAGGTTGAAATCCCTTTAACGTCAATTCTGTTTCTTATTAAATTTGGTAGAACTGTTTGACTTTGCATTATTGTCTTCTTTCCCTTCCATTGTTTATTTTCCCTTTCAGTACGACAAATTTGTGGATTTCAGTTTATATAATTATTTGTTGCTTAGTAAATTTATTTGGTTGGTTTCGAATGATTGTGGTATTGCAATTTTTGATTGGATTGAGTTGTCCATGATTAATCTCTTCACTGGTAATTATTAATGACATTGCTTAAGAAGATAATTGTTTTTAATCTCTCAACCATAATTTGCTAATTAATTTGTTCTAAGAATGTGGTGAATTTACCATGAACATTGTGTACTGATTGGTAATATTGAACCTAAATCGCAGTGTTAGTAATGGTAATTTATTCATGTTCCTAGTCTTTATTTCTTCTATTTTGTTTCATAGTTATTTAATTATCTTTTCAAGTTACTTTAATTTTAAGTTCATTAAATGACATTTTTATTAAATTGCATTGTACCAATTCCCTGTGGGATCGACCCTTGCTTTTGCACCTTATTACTACACTGACTCGTGCACTTGCAAGGACATTATTAAAAATTGTCCAACAATTTTTGGCACCGTTGCCGGGGACTTGTTTATTTTGCAATTTAATTTTCTGTTCTTTCTCTTTCCTTAATTGCTTTATTTTTTAATATCGCTTCATTATTGTTATCTTTTTCATTTTTATTCTTGCATTTTATTTAATTTATCTGTCCATTTAAAAACTGCTTTATATTTGTTTTTGCTTTCGTTATTCTCTTTATTCATTTTTTTTCCCATTTCTTAATACTGGTTGATTTTTTTTTTTTTCCAATCTCTTTATTGTTATTGTCATTTGTTTTTTTTTTCCTTCAATTTAATCTTACTCATTAATTTGATTCAATAGTCCATTCTACTTTCTCAAAATTCATTTTCATTCTTAATCACAAAAATATTTGAAAAATTTTACATTTTAATATGTACTCTTTTTTGTCAAACCAAAATAATTCTTATAATAATGATTTTGAACAG